AACAAGAGTTTATTAGAAAGACACGAAACAAGTGATAAATCTTGGACGCACCTCTGCATGGTCTGCGCCTGTACCTAGACCCAATTGGCCAAACTGATTTCCCCCAAAAGTATACACACGGCCATGATCACATAAGCACACAGAATGCCATAGTCCACCTGCCACGGCTTCTATTCTAGTGTTCAATAGAGAAGAGACACAAGTTGGCCTCAGCACGTCATTTGTATTACCTAGTCCACACTGAATACAACGAATGAGACTAGAGGACTTACAAAGAAAAGCAGTGCTTGTTTGAAAAAAAAAANTAAAGAAAAGCAGTGAACACTGAACCAGGCACACCAAGTTGATATTGCAGGTGTATATTTTTTGGTGTTTCAGATCAATTTCTTACAAGATACAACAAGATTACAATTGTCTGCTTTTTGAAAAAAAACAATATTAAGTGGTGGACATTCTATTCCGGCAACAAAACATATATCGACAACGCTATAAGCAAGATGCGACCTGGCTATGATATTTCCTTGCTCAAGATTAATCAATCTTATTAATTCTGAAATTGTAGAGAATAGCATGTGAAGAGTTCTTTTATGGATAAGAGGACAAGACATGCATCGCATTTGAAGTGTGATGATATAAACACTCACTTGCCCATACAATCCCCAGCCAAATGTAAGCAGCACCCCAGCATCTGACAATTGAAACAAATACCCAGGTGAGCAGAAAGATAATCGAGGATTAAGTATCATTTTTAACTTCAAGGAGCAAAAAGTAAAGACAATGATTTGAGATGGAGTCTGACTTTGTTGTAAACGGAGTAACTCAAAGCCATTCAAACTTGAAAAACTTAAACATATTTCCAGAAACATTCTTCTTTTCTTCTCACAATGTGAAACTTAAATTTGAAAAGTGTCCTTATTAAAAGATATTGTACTCTATGTGGTCAGCAGAAGTACTAAAACTGAACTCAGTGCTAACCTGTGATTACTGCACTATGCCGGCCACCACAAGCAATTCTCTTTATGTAGCTCCCCAAAGCTTTACGTGTCTCACTCCCTGGGGTAATGCTTCCTTGAGGACTCCGAAGACTCCGGTCTGCTCCATGTGAAGACATATCCAGACATGGTATAAGATGAGGAGTAGCCACTATTTTAATCCTGGAGCCTAAACCAAGCTGCCCTTCACCTCCATAGCCCCAACCCCATACCTGTCCCACATCTAAATCCGGCAAAAATATGATGCATCAGGTGTCTTGCTTTATATTAAAGTTCTTCCATATCTTCGTACTTCATAAGACCTACAAAACTATATGGCGTAACCACAAAGCAACCGACTTCACTTCCAAAATGACAGCAACACACTACAACCTGCATGGAGGAGTGAAGTTACCTGACAATGCTAATGTGTGGCGCCCTCCTGCAGCAACTGAGGTTATCTTCACCCCAGGATCCAGTTCTACAATACAAGGTGGTGCAGAAAGGGATTCGTCAGCAGGTGGTGGGCTTTCAAGTTCTTGTTTAGCTGTCACTGTTCTTCTCCTCTTTGCAGTTTCTTCAGCTTTTTTATTATCTTGGTGAGCGACTGAACTAGCAGTTAACTTGGAGCCTTGAGACTGAGGGCTCTCTGCAAAAATTAGTCTTTGTAGTATTAGTTAACTCTCCAGAGATAAGCATGCAGATGAACTTACCAAAATCTTAACTGGTTCAAATTGGAAACCGAACTTCCATTACCTTGCTCAGTTAATACTGAACTTTCTTTCCGAAAAGAATCCCCTTCAACACTTCCTCCAGCAGCGAAATTTGCAACAAGCTTGGAAGAAGGCACGCATTCTTTCCAGCCCCATGTGTATACATCATTCTTTTCTGTACAGAAATATAAATATATTATAACCATATGTCTCCATTATCTTTCTTATGGTTTGAAGTAGAAAAAAAGAAAAGAGATTGAGAAGGTTCCTGCAAATAACGTTCTGAATTAGCTGAAGGGTGACTGACAGCTCAGAAAGACTGGCAAACAGTATATCACCTGTAACAGATACAATATGCGCCCAACCAGCTGCAGCTTTCACGACTGGATCATCAGTTGGAATCGGAAATGGCTCTGGAGTCTCCTTGATAAATGCAGTCAGGAAAGAAGATAGCAACATCAATTTTAAGTGATCTATATAAACGAGTCCACACAAGAAAGATTTGCCACAATACCCCATGTTTTCCTGAAGTCAAGTAGCTTTGGCCTTGATCATCTGCAGAACCCCACGTGATAAGTTTTCCAGACCCTGCTGCCATTTCATCGTACCGTTAGAATTATGTATATAGGTATGCTTAATCCCACATTGAAATAGGAGTAGTATGTATTGTGTAGAGTATAATTAAAAATAGGGATCCTTGTGTTATATTATGTACATCAATAATATAGTTTTCCCCTGCTATTTATCACAAATAATACATAGTTAAACCACATAAAATCAACGGCCGCGGAGCTATCGTCATTTTCAAGAAGGAAATCACTGAGAAGATGTGGAAAAAGAAATGAGATTGGAATGGATGGAGAGATCCAGTGTGGAATCTTTCATTTTTTATTCTCAAGATGATGTCCTCTGCGCCATGTTAAATATACCAAAACAGTGACTAATGGAGGCTGGAAAATCAATCAAGGCTCTGTAACTCAAACATAATTTATAGTGTTCATGATGGAACACTAATCTCAAAGCACAAGGATTAGTTGTTTTCCCTTGGTAGGTGCAATTCCAACTGTCTAGTATAGCTTGTGTAGATTCATAGACAGCTTACAAAGAAGCATCTCTCTCTTCTAACAAGCAACAATGCTCTGCTGAGTTGTGCTTATGTGAACTGCAATTCTTATCTTATGAAAGTAGACATTGATGACACAAAGCACAAGGATTAGTTGGTTAGATGCAATTCCGACTGTCTTATTTGGTATTATAACTAGTATCTCTTCATCTACACCTTGAACAAAAATGCATCTCTTTTCTATTGATCAAAAATGTTTCTTTAACAAAAATGCATCTCTTCACAAAAATGCATCTCTCTTCAATTTTTACCTCCATTATTTTGCTAGCATTCCTTATCACATACTTATTGTAATACAGCATGCACAACAGTAACTGATTGGGAGGGTGATCAGATGTCATGATGTATACATGTCATAATCATGACGTATACATTAGAATTATTATGTATCAATGACATTTGGGTGCCAAGACGAGTCACCAAGACTTACAAGCTCACTTATGTTTTGAACAGTCTTCAAAGTTCAAATGATGCTATGCACTTATATGAAGCATTACATTGAAAATGCGAAATTTTCTTTAAAAAACTTGATTCAACTTTTAGAGGTGGTTTATTTGACAAACTGAATTTTATACTTTCCCTATGCTTTTATGTCATACAGATTCTGTCAGCCTCGAACACCAGAGTTGAGCACCACATCCATAGTTTCAGCGGTAATCCCCATACTTGACCCATTGTGGCACCTTCTGTTCTTCCTTTCTTTGGCATTATGGGGTTATGTTCTGTCTCAAATTCATATTACTGTAGTTTTAAGAAGCTCCATGACCACTTGCAGGTAGATATTAGTTTTGGAATTTACACATATACGCCTCATGATGACACCTCTCTTGACATGGCGAAGAGGGTGTCTGGCTAAGCTTATAAGCGGGTCAAACTAGCTTAAAAGTACATTTTGATTTATCTATCAAAAACAACCAAAAGCCATTATTTGGTCACCCCAACATAATGCTTTTCCGCTTATAAGCACTTTTGGTTTGACGGTAATTTTTACTATTTTATCCTTACAAAACAACAACAACAATAACTAGGCGTCAGCCCCAAACAAGTTGGCGTCGTTTATATGAATCCTCGCTTCTAAGCTCAACTCATATAATCATTGAAGATGTTGGTTTATGTTTAGTCAACAATGGCATGCCAATTGGAAGAGTTGGTGGAAAGAGTTGGTGTGAATGCTAGGAGGAAGCTTCCTCCTTTAATGTCACCCATGACATCAAGAGGAGGTAGTTTGATGTCACCAATGACATCAAGAGGAGGTCTTTACCTCTATAAATAGATGCACTCCTTCATTTGTAGAAACCATCCCAAAAATAATACAACACATTGTAGTGAGTAGAGAGTTAAGAGAGAAATTCTCTTAAGTGTAATTGGGAACTCTCCCCTTCCTTTGTTAATATTAAAAAGGCAACTGTTCTCTGGTGGACGTAGGATTATTTTGATCCGAACCACGTTAAATCTTGTGTTCTTTCTTTTACGTTTCCGCTAACAATTGGTATCAGAGCAACAAGATTCTTTAACGATCCAAGGAGGAAGAACAAGCAAAGATGAGTTCCATGAAGTTTGAAATTGATAGATTCAGTGGACGCAACAACTTCAATATCTGGAAGATCCAGATGATGGCGTTACTGCGGAGGGAAGGTTCAATCCATGCTATTGACGGAAAGTATCCTAAGGATATATCAGCTCCCGACAAGGAGAAGATTGAAGGGGATGCATTGAGTGCAATCCAACTATCCCTTGCACCTAACGTGCTTTGTGAAGTGAGTACGGGTACCGAAGAGACGGCCAAACAGTTGTGGGAAAAGCTAGAAGGGCTATACCAAGACCGATCAGTGACAACAAGGATGTTGTTACAACGGCGTCTTCACACATTTAAGATGGGGTCAGGTACTTCGTTACAAGATCATTTAGATGCGTTCAATAAACTTGTCATGGACTTACAGATTGCAGGAATTAAAAGGGAGGAGGAGACGCTTGCATGTGCTTTGCTATTTTCATTGACTTCAGGATATCGTGATATTGAGAATTCAATGATGTATAGCAAGGAGCCTATCAAGCTTGAGCAAGTGCGGCAGACACTTAACTCTAGTGATGTGCGAAGGCACATTGAAGGAGATAGAGATGACCAGGCAAGTGGGCTCTTTGTGAGAGGCCGGACTAGCAAACAGGGAAAGAGCAGATCAAAGCACAGATCAAAGTCTCGTGTGAACAAGAAGCATACAGAGTGTTGGGGTTGTGGCAAGAAGGGGCACTTTGAACGAGACTGCCCAATGTCAAAGTCNTCAAAAGGATTCAGTCAGAAGGAGGGAATCGACTACAATGAGATTTTCTCTCCAGTCGTGAAGCATAGCTCAATTCGCGTGCTACTAGCATTGGTTGCCCAATTTGACTTGGAGCTTCAACAGCTTGATGTCAAAACTGTTTTCTTACACGGTTATCTAGAAGAGACAATCTATATGGATCAGCCTGAAGGTTTCCTAGCTGAGGGAAAAGAAGATCACGTATGCCAACTAAAGAAGTTTTTGTATGGTTTGAAACAATCCGCTAGACAGTGGTACAAGAGGTTTGATGCATTCATGACTACACATGAATTCTCAAAAAGTGCATTTGATAGCTAGATAAATGCTTTGAAGAAACTGTTGAGTAAGGAATTTGACATGAAGGATTTAGCTGCAAAGAAAATCCTTTGTACGGAGATTTCAAGAGAAGACGATGTTGTACATCTTTCTCATAAGAGGTATATTGAAAGGGTTCTCAAGAGATTCAATATGCATACGTGCAAGCCTGTAAGTACACCATTAGCTCCTCATTTTAAACTTTCAGAGTTACAAATGCCTCAGTCCGAGGATGAGGTGGA